CGACGATCGTGCACGCGGCGCGCGCACACCTGATTGGAATCGATATGAGCAAGCACTCGAAGAAGAACTTTTATGACCACTGAAGATCACATCTACTTTGTCTCATCTGAAAAACAGCACCTCCGATGGCATAGTGTCTCCTATCATCATCCCAGAGCACTGACTGATTTAGTATGGACTCTGAGGAAAAAGTACCACCTACTGAATCGCCAGCCTCTTGAAGAACCCTGGATTTTCTCTCTTCAAAGTCTTAATCCTTCACAGTCAGTGACATTTGACAGGTGCATAACATAAGATGGTATATCTGCTGGCCATCACACAGAGGAGTATAATTTATTCTCTAGCAATATTTTTTAATTCCCATGGAACAGAAGAATATAAAAACCTATGTTGCTACTGATGAGATATCATATCATTTGCTTTGGTTATTACTGATATGAAATCACCCCAGTCTGTTAATTTTTGCTTTTCCACCATCAATGTAAAAGGCTTGTGGTACATCAAAGTACGTTCATAATGCAGCACTGACTGGAAATCGTAAGTTATGCATAGAGCCTACTAGGGATAAGAACAGGAGTGAAAGTGAGCTGTTATGGCGTACCGGTAAGAACCCACACCGGCCCGTACGCAGTGCTGCTGTGGCAGCACTTTAATATCCCTGCCCCTTTTGCCTCCTCCGTTGGCAGCCCTGCTGGTAGGGTTCGTACAACCAGGGCCACCGACAGGGGAGGCAAAAGGGGCAGAGATGTTAAAGCGCTGCCGGGGCAGCCCTTTAAGGATGGTCCTTTGCCACAGCAGTGCTTTAATGTTGCTGCCCCCCCCATCGGCGGCGCTACCAGCGGGGCCACCGACAGGGGGTGGCAGGTGCAGCAATGTTAAAACGCTGCTGCGGCAAAGGACCCTGCAATGCTTTAACATCCCTGCCCCCTCAGCCGCCAATGGGGGTGGGGGGGCAAAGGGAGCAGCTGCCCCGGGGCCGGCGATTTAAAATTTAAATCGCCACTGGAGCCCCGGGCAGTGCAGGCCAGGCGGCCTGGAAGGGTTGGCCTGGGGATGCTGACCTCCAGCCCCGCCTCTTCCGCCTGAGGCACCACCCCTTCCGGGGGCCGGAGCCGGCCCTGACCCCGTACCAGTAAGTGTCTGGAGTTACTTTCATCCCTGGATAAGAACAAATAATTCTGGAATCAAATTAGAAGTTTCTTAAGGCATGTAAGTCCACAATAAAGGTGGGGGAATAGAGAAGAAGAGAAATATTGGCAATATAAAGTACAGGGCAAAGCACTTTTTGTTATAATAACAGTCTTAAAGGACAGGATTAGCAAAATAGTCCTGCTGCAGTAAATAAAAAAGTAAAAAATAAAAATACTACAAGCTAGCAATTGCAAATATATCATATCTGTTTAAAGAAACAGACAGAAAAGTTTAAGTGCTGTAAAGCCACTACTCCCAGTTACGATAATATATAAAAATCAGTGAAGATCCAGAGTGAAATCCTGGCCCCATTCAAGTCAAGGGGAGTTTTGCCATTGACTTCAGTGGGAAAAGGATGTCATGTTAAGTGGTTTATATCTCCACTCAGCATATGTAGATCACACAATAGGAACTACACATACATTTACAATAAAGGCAAAGGAAACCTAAAGAAACATATAATGGAAATAATGAAAAAATAGTTTTTCATTAGTATAGAATCTGCTGCAGGTGCTAAAACTTTCATTGCAAACCTGAAACTGAGGACAGGTTTATAACAATGTACCAGTAAGTGAACACAGAGGGAGCAGTCAATGGGATAGACAAAGTCTATAACATGTTGTTATGAAACTTGCTAGTTATAATTAACCTATCCAGGTATGGGATCCTACCAAGCAGTTGCACAAGATTAGTGCCATTAGTGCAGTTTCTCCACTTGGTTAGTAGTCATATACTTAAGTTATTTTCATTAGTATTCCACAATTTGATCAAATGGCAACATTTCCCCATCTCAACCAACACAGAGTTGTGGTGGCAAAACCAGCAAAACTGGATATTTCTGAATCTGCCCCAAATGGAAAGTCTCAATGTTTGCAAAGAAAGTTTGACATACTTTGAGGGTCAAAGGACTTTTGGGAAGGTTAAATGATAGATTTCTGCTTGCAGAAAAAATGCTTTTCATGGTCATAAAAAACTCAAAATTACATTTATTTTTTTCTCCCAAAGTCTGTGAAAACATAACGTTTCACCATTGATAAAGTCCTTTGCCTACAAGACACACAATTCTAGTTCCAAAAGATCTTATCCTTTACTCACACATTTCGAAACACAGGCTGTCAACTCAGTAGTCGCGCTACCTCTGTCTCTTTCAGAAGACATCCTCCAGAGTGCATCCCACACAACGTGCACTTCATTATTAGGTCTCATATTCCATATTCAATGCAACATAGCCCCAGTCCTGAGCGCTACCATACTATAAACTAGACATCTGCAATTGTCTTGAAGAAATCAGCAGTTTAGTACAGGTCTCATTCCTCCAGAATAAGCTATATACGTAGGAAATTACATTTCCAAACTGATAAACTCTTGACAGAATGGGGATATGCTCTGAGAGGCCAATTAATTAAGAGAAAAAAAACTTTTGAAGTGATAATCAAGCTAGCCCAGTACAGACAGTTTGATAAGAAGTGTGAGAATACTTACAAGGGGAGATAGATTCAATGTTTGTAATGGCTCATTCTTTTGCGTAGAGACTGTCTGGTTTGGCCAATGTACATGGCAGAGTCTCGACGCAAAAGAATTAATGGACACAAATCTGACATCAGGAATCAAAATACTCAAAAACCAGTGGGAGAACACTTTAACCTGTTTGGTCATTCAGTGACAGACCTGCGGGTGGCTATATTACAACAGAAAAACTTCAAAAACAGACTCCAACGAGAGACTGCTGAGCTAGAATTGATATGCAAACTAGACACAATCAACTCCGGTTTGAATAAGGACTGGGAATGGCTGAGCCATTACAAACATTGAATCTATCTCCCTTGTACGTATTCTCACACTTCTTATCAAACTGTCTGTACTGGTCTAGCTTGATTATCACTTCAAAAGTTTTTTTTCTCTTAATTAATTGGCCTCTCAGAGTTGTAAGACAACTCCACCTGTTTATGCTCTCTGTATGTGTGTATATATATCTCCTCAATATAGTTCCATTCTATATGCATCCGAAGAAGTGGGTTGTAGTCCACGAAAGCTTATGCTCTAATAAATTTGTTAGTCTCTAAGGTGCCACAAGTACTCCTGTTCTTCTTCTCACAATCAATGTTCATCTTTTAAACCTTGTCTAATTCCATACATAATATAAAGTGTTTATGGGGATGCATCAGTAATACTGCGCACCTCTTTTCCATCTTCAGAGTACTTTACAATTATTTAAGTAAACTTCATGACACCCCAAATGTCATTTAAGATGGAAAGACTGAAGCAGAAATGTTAAGAGTCAGAACTAGAATAAAACTCGGAAAATCCATTTTCCTAGTCCTACTGGTAGACCATTCCTTTATCTCATAGTGGGGGAGGCCACTAATGGTCATCAGTCCTTGGTAACTATGGGATTATTTTCATCAACCTTTAGGTTGCCATGACTTTTTATGTAAAGTACATATTGCATGTGTAATGGCATATAAAGCATTCAATTCTTCAAAGTTTATTTAAAAAATATCAACAATATGAAGGTTGAGGTGAGGTTTGAGTTAATAGGTTTCTTCTCCCCTCCTTCCCCCTACCCCCCATATGTTTTTTACTTAAGCAGAAAAAGAAAGCCTCAAGTAAACAAAACAGTAAAACCCCAAAGAAGATTAGAAACCAAATATGATAAACAAATGTGGCAAAATAAGACACAAGTTAAAAGAAGAGAGCATTACAAACAATCATACCAGATGGCAGGTCATCCAAAGGAAATTCAAATAACCTGGATTTGTAAACAGAGTGGAAATGGAAATCCTCCTGAAATAGTAAACAGTAGAATGCATTAAGCCAAGATAAAATGAACCATCCCGTGAATATTAGGGAGATAGAAACTCTTTCCCATTAGGTACCAAACCAATATGTTGGGGAAATAATGGATCACTGGAGGTTATCAAAGCTCAAGGATCTTTATCCACATTGTAGATTCTTCTCCTCCTCTCCCAATTATGATGTGATCATTAAGGCCCTGATTCAACAAAGCACTTAAGCATGTATTTTACTTTTAACATACAAGTAAGTCCTTTAAAATCAATTGGCCTAATCACATGCTTAAAGTTAAGCATATGCTTAAATGTTTTGCTGGATTGGGGTCTCAATTTTTTAAAGTTAAACAATATGAAATGCAAATGGATATGTATATATATGGTTTTAACTGATATTCAGCACTGACAAATGACCAAGAGGTCATTTTAAAGAAGCTACCAAGGGGTAGCTAAGACATGTATTATTGGAGGAAAACTATTATTTTATTTTATCATATTATTATTATTGGAGGAAAACTCCTCCTGTTTTCCTGATACTGTATTTAGCTACTGGGAACTCAGATATTAGATGCAATATAGTGCCTTTGGTTTGCACCTTTAGAGCAATATATCGACTAGCTGCTGAAAGTGGGAGGACAAGGACTCCAGCCCCAAAACTAGAGGTGCAAGGCTGAGGATGAGGCTTTGTTGTTTTCTGCATTTCTTGTGTATCTGAATACTGGGTTAACTGCAGTTCTACTTACGTGTGAAGTGTAGCTTTCTTCTGGTTCAATAAGATAAGTATGATTCCCATCATAGAACATCCCACTGTTAAAGGCAGGAAAAGTGGTAACATTGAGCAGAGATTTACCAAACATTTATAAAAAGATTAAAACAATTTAAACAGGTAACCCATGAAGGGGAGGCTATGAACTTAAAATATAACCATTAAAAAAAATAAATTAAAAGCAATGTCAGGTATTATCCCAGTTTCTAAGTCCTCGTGCCAATTTTTGTGATTTTACAACCAACTTTTCCTTTTTTTAAAATGTTTTTCCTCTTCCTTGTTGTAGTGATAAAGAGTTAGACACAAAGAGCAGCAGAAACTGACTGACTGACCCAGTCCCCAAACCTAGTGTGAACCCCGCTCCCTGGACCAGATTGTTCCTACTTCTGACAGATATTTAAGAGGTCTCTTTACACACTCTGGGAACACATATATAGCTTGTCATGCCAAAATAAAGTATTAAACTGATCTGACTCTTAGATTTTAAGCTTTTTGGTGCCATAAGTCTGTCTGTCTGCGTGCTCTTACAAGACCCAGCATAATGGGGATACTTTTGAGGTAAACAAAACAAGGTAAACAAACTGAAAAAAAAAATCAAGAATAACAATTTTTTTCCTGACACATCAATTTAAGTCCTTTATTTAAATTTTTTGGAAAAGACACAAATAGGTCTTATATAAAACAACATCAACAGAAATATTCCATGAACTGCCAGAGCCAATGTCCCATGCTATGTTGTCCTTTCATACAGTACGTATTCTAACATGTGGAAAGCTTTCACTAGCTCTTGTGGTATTCCTCATTATACTTACAGGGAACAGCTCTCACACAAGTAAAATCTTCCAAATGGTAGAGGAATTTTAAGGGCGCCAACTATATGCATGTTTGTTGTATATGCTGGAAAATCTGTTGCTGTAATTGCTCACATGTGAACAATCACCAATTTCCCAAGCCAGCAAAGGTGGCACATGGTTCAGTTCTAACCACAGGATAGGTTCAAGCTTTAAGGGATCCTAAGTGAATGTAGACAGCCTATGGTAATTAAATCACATGGTTGTGCATTACTGTTTACAAGTAAATACACAGCAGTGGTGAAATTCACCATTGTCCAGAGATCTCACACCAGACCTATACACCACTTAAAATTCTATTTTGAGTTTAAATGGGGTTTAAGCTTATGCCTTGCACCGGATTTCTGCACAAAGATGAATTTCACTCTAAAATAAAAATGATCTGATATGAAAATGTTAATTGACAGTATACTAAAGAGGTACATTTCCTACCCACACCTTCCTTTTCATCTTTATCTAAGTCAGCCTTTTCTTGCAATTTTTTCTTTATTACAGCAGCATGTGTGTTGTTGAGATTAAGTTGTGTCAGCATGTCCTTTCTAAAGTGCTTCTTTCAAGGTTTTTTAAGACTAGCTATAAATATGAGCTGTAGGCTCAGACTTGACATATACTATACAACCTCAACAAGAGAGCAAGATTTTTTTTTCAAAGTTTGAGGAGGCGGGGAAACAAAAAAACCACCACATTTCATTCTTTAAGTGACAGAAATGGATACTTGCTTTTGATTTATGCAAGTCAAAAATGAAATTGATTTTTAAAACATTTTTATAATTAATGTTTGCATTTTTTGTCATTAACATCAGATCTGACCTTAACAGGGAGCAGCTCTGTTGAGTAAAATGATGTCATTTTACTCTGTTGGGGACCATAACTACATATTAAACTTTTAAACCATTACAGCTTTACATAAACATATCTAATATTTGCCCAAATGTTGTGTATTTACAGGATAAGCCAAATGGCTTCACCAAAGTAATTCTGGATATATATAATATAATATAATATAATATAATATAATATAATATAATATAATATAATATAATATAATATATAACTCATATTAGCAGTGGTTATAAATACATATTTAATTCAAAGGTATTCATCCCTTTGCAAATAACCTGTAAATATTTTGTAGAAATTAACTTGTTCTATGACATTTAAAATAAAAATCCTAGAGCCTGATGAAGGCCTTCATTCTAAGAATAAAATGAGATTTGGGACTCATCCTGCAGATTTTAAGTATGCAAAACTTGCTTTGCTATCAATGGCAATTTTACATGAGTAAGGTCTGCAGGCTTGATCAGTGTGTCAGCATTTGAGGACTTAATTCACATTCTTGGAATAAAGGGCCTCCTATTTGATCATTTCACCCAGCAGCATGGACCTTGGATCAGGTCAGAATTTGATCAAACCACTCTTTAATAATGGTACACGGTAATAACATATTTACAGTCAAACTACAAACTTGATCCGACTTAAGTCAATGGATGTTTTGCAATAGACTTAAACTGAAGCAGTCTATATATTTTAATCATACACTAATAAAAAAGTTAGATCCAAAGTAGTAGTAAAATACCGACCACTTTTGAAATCTGAATCTTTACTATGTCAAAACAATACACAAACATATTGTAACAATAAACATCTTGTAAATCAATTTGATCTTAGAATAGCAAGATTTTTAATTTCACCACCAGTGGGCAGCAAATTCATAGTCCAACAAGAAAACTTATCTAGTATCTACGTTACAGGCCTTCAAACTCTTATTTTAGATTAAGCCTTACTATAGCTTGTCTGTAGTTATTCTGATAAGGCCCTTCATTTCCCAAAAATATTTCTATAGTTCTCAAACTGACACCACAGTTCTATAGGCTGCTATGTGTGATGGACCCTGTACCCCCATGCTAATTTTAATTGGGGTGAGGAAAGAGTCTGCCTGTGTGAAAGAGCTTGCAGGATCATGACCTAAGAACATATTTGAATGTTTAAAATGTTATTACATTAGAAGAGTTCATTACTCAATAATCTATCATCCATTATTAAGAATCAGTGTGCTTTATGCTATACAGTACATAAAGGAATACATGGTTCTCTTCCAAGGAGCCTGTATTGTAATAAAAAATGCATTAAAATACAGATTAATAAGAATATATAATTAAGCACATTCTTTGAAAGAGATTCAATATTGTATTCCTACACTCCAACATTCCCAACAGATATGTAATAGATATGTTTACATCACTTGACTGAAGAAAACAAAATGAAAATGGGAAGTTATTTTGCATTTATTTCTATATTCTTCTGTAAGGAACATGAACCCAAGAGCTGAATTTAAGAAGAAATGTGGACACTAGAAATCCTAATAATGAGTGTGGCTTTTTCAAAATGTTATATTTTTGTTTGAATCTCTGCATTAACCCACTGTAGACTATTGGATAGCCCAAATAAAAACTTGGCTAACTAGGAGTTAAGGCCACAGAAGTATATTGCTTCTTCAATGCAACTACCAAAAAGAAAGGAAATTCAGAGATAGGAGGATTCCACCATCGAACCCACTACCTTATTAATTTACCAAATGAGAGATAGACATCCCTAAAAAGAACGCAGGCATTATTAGCTAAAGAAATCACAAGATAAAGTTAAATCAACAATTCTGGCATCAACCTTGGCACCTGATTTACACCCACCCACCAATAATATAGCTGTTATAGGCTGGGACCTGGAGGATGTATTAAGCAGAAGAAAAGGCTTGAATTAATACTTGCCTGGACATGGAGAACACGGAGCTTATTGCTCCTTTAAAGGCATCTTCTCCAGCTGTTACAACTCATAAAATTCACCAAAGAACTAGCCCTACAGACGTTATTAGATGTAATAGCCCCCAGTTTCCTCTGCTCCAGAGAAATACTCCAGATCCTGGTTGGAGCTAATGAAATTAAATGCCAGCATGAATCAGCAGTACTTATTCAGTATTTGAGATCTACTCATGAAAAGCATTATAGAAAAGATGATAAAGATTATGATGATGATGCAGTTTTGCAGCACCTGAGCTTAACATGACTTATTAGAGAAACACTGCAGTCTCATACAGGGTCCTGGAACACTCCAACCTATTATATTGTTTCAAACTGTCCCTGCCTATTGTGAAATAGGAATCTGTTGATCTTTGTTGCTGATATAAGTATACAGATACTTGAAGATTCCTCCCTAAAAGGAAAAAAGAGATGTACCTAAGACAGCTGAACAAAAAAGGAAAAGATAACAACTCTTCATCATCCTAGTCATGTAGCTGCATTAGAAGATACCAACATTGATAATTAAGCACTGAGAGAATACAAAGCAGTGGGTTTCATCCTGAAGAACAAAGCACCAAATAAAGGCCAGAAAGGAATTTTTGCAGTCTCTTTTCCCCTTTTCTCTCTTAGTCCCTGAGAGTTAACAGGGGTCATGGACTACAATCCAAGACCTAATGGATCACAACTAATGGAAGTCATGCAGTTAAATCTCTGCAGAATGCACTAAAACGCTACTAATTTTAGATTCACCCTCGGCACAGAACCTGAAGTCAGATTTCTTGGGTTAGTCTTCACTCCTAAATCTTGATTACAAAAGAGATAAAAGCATTATGGTACAAACAATCAGACAGAAAACTGCAATGATGCTAAAATAAAAACAAAACCCAACAAATTTAACTAAAAGAAACTAACTGAAAATATAGAAGTCTGATACAGAATTTATAGAACTATTGGAGAAGGAAAAGGATCGAATCAATGAAAATCCCCATCGGATACGTGCCTGCCTTTCAGTGAAGCAGGAGGGAAAAGAGAAGTATAAGGTAATTGTTGAGTGCTCCTATTTATAGACCATTCATCACATGACCCTTCAAGCAATATCTGACCTCAATATCAGGGGGATCCTGTAATTCCCAGTGAAGTCATCCGGAAGCTGCAGTTACTTAGTACCTCTGAAAATCAGGCCAGGAATCTTTTTGAACCGGTCCAAAACTATGATACAAACCCTGAGAGGGACTATGTGGAATTTTTGTATAGCTGTTTGAGATCCTCAAATGGAAGGTGCTATTAAGTACAACATATTGTTAAAATAATGCAAAGTTTTCAGTTTGCCATGTAATGGCCACTCCTTTCCTTCAGATTTACAAATATATTGCGATATATGTAAAGTACAGATCAGTAGGTAAATATCTAAATATCTAATATCAGTGCCTCTGTGAAAGAAAAGAAAAATGACTAGAAAACCCCCACTTCACTGTCTCCATTTTGTTTTGTAAATGGGGTCAGAACAGAAGAGAAATATGCCATCTACTCATTGTAGTAATCAGGAAAGAGTAAAGCATATTTTGAAACAGTTAAAGAGTAACATTTAGAAAGGTTCCCCCCCCCCCAGGAAAGGAATATTTGCTCTCACCCTTGCTTATTTATTTGTAAGTTAGTTTTAACTTGAAAAAATGTGACTGTTACACAATACCAGTGTGTTTATGTGCTAATAAAAAACAACTCAGGCACTCTGTAAACTACTTGTAAAAATCCAAGATTTCTTTATAGGTTCAAATTCAACCCATAATTTGTGAGAGAGAGTAAGATGTTTAACATTCTGCTGCAATTAGTAATTCTTTTACTATCAAATTTGTACTTGTTTTAAGAAATTACATACAGCCCATTAAAAAAATAACCTGGGGAAACTTACTGAAGTCCATGGCATGTTGACAAGGCAACAAATGATTCTGAGTTTCCTCGGATTTGGCCCTGATAATAGCAATGCTCTCCTCCCTGCAATTGAAAATAGAGACGGTGAATCCATCATGTTGCACAATATCATACACATGTCCTGTCAAACATGGCTTGTGCCATGACTATGTTGCCATGCCTACCAGCATGGTGCCCACAATTCACAGTCATTCAGCGTCGAGAGAAAACCGCAGAGGACATTCTTATCAAATAGATCAAAGAGAATTAGTCATAAGTGTCCCTAGTGCTCTGAATTTAAAGGAAACATGGTGTATAATCAAATGATAAAAGAGTGCAATGAAAATTAACACTTGTCTTTTCTTTCCTATAAGTAGTGCATATACCACACCTGCCAAATCCTGCAGTCTTTTACTTGACAAAACTGCCACTGAAGTCAGGGAAAGTTTTGCCTTAGTCGGGTCTTCAGGATTGGACCTTATGTCTGTCTAGCCATATGTATCTCCAGTGAACCCATCACTGTACAATCTAGGCACTGTATACAAAATATGAATAACCTCATTTCTATCTGAAAAAGTCTTCTACATCTTCCATCATTATTCCCATTGGACTCAAACTTAATTGCTGATTCCTAGGAGAAACTCACACAGGTCATTATGCTGTTTTGTTGTTGGTCGACGGTCGAACTTAAAAAGAGGGGCCTTAAAAGCAATAACACTAGAACTCATCCTAATTTCTGGTGACAAACATGCCGCTCCCCCCAAGTAAGAACAACCTGCCCCACCCCTACATAGCTAGGTGAGCAAATATTTAAGTGTGTTTACTGAGATGAAAAGCATGATTATTCATCTTTGTGAGCTGGCAATCACTTGGGTGATAGTGATGCAGAGCCATAAGCCAAAATTGCTGTTCATACTTACAGTGTGAAATTAAATGCTCTCAGATTCTACCCTTCAAAAGTATGTTTATAACAGCTGTTTCACCAACACTAAATTAACTGAAGTTTAAAAAAGAAAACAAGAGTATGTTAGTAGCTTTTGGGATGTGACAAGGAAATCTCCTTTTGTTTTCTATAGGATCATACAGACTATGAATTTCAAAAGGAACAAGTGATTTTCAGTGCCCAACTTGAGACACCGTAAAGTGGCCTGATTTTCAGCGGGTGTATGCACTGCACTTTCTGGAAGTCAGTCCCCTGGAGTTCGGGCACCAAAAATCACTAGTCCCTTTTGACATTCTTCTTCTTCATGTTTTGTCGTCTGACACGGAGACTTTGATGCCATTGTGTAGACCTAGAAATGTACTGTACCATGAATCTGAGGTAGTGCTCAGATACTATGATGATGCCTGCCACAGAAAAAAACTAATATATGATTAGAGAGATTGAAGGCCTATAATATGTGGCTTGTTTGTTGCTTCATTTTACAAAGAGTATCCTTCTGGCAAATTTTCAATTAGAATCATAGAACCACAGGGTTAGAAGGGACCGCAACCGTTATCTAGTCTAACCCCCTGCCAAGATACAGGATTTGCTGAGTCTAAACCACTCATGATAGATGGCTATTCCACCTCCTTTTGAGAACCTCCAGTGAAGAAGCATCCATGACCTCCGTAAGCAGTCTATTTCATTGTCCTACCCTTTTTACAGTTAGGAATTTTTTCCTGCGACGTAATCTAAATCTGCTATGCTGTAGTTTGAACCATTGCCTCTGGTCTTGACCTCTGTGGCAAGAGAGAACAACTTTTCTCCATCTTTTTTATGGCAGTGTAGCAGGGTGGTCATCCTGTTCCTGCCCTGAAGGGCTTAAAACAGCCCTAGGAAAGGTCTGCGGCGGGGGGGGAAAATCTAGGCTGATTGGGGGAAGCAGCCACAGGTGGGGCCACGCCCCAATCAGACCACAGCTGGCCCTATAAGAGGTCCAACCCCCCTTGCCAATGATGAATGGTTTACAGACTGCCGTCTGCCCCAGTGAGCAGGGCTAAATGGAGACTGGCAGTAGCCACTGAGGCAAGGTGGGGTGGGGGATTGGGGGTTCCCCTGGGAGGGGAGACCCAGAGTGAGGGGGTACTGTGGTGGGCAGAACACCTGGGCAAAGGGCACTGGGGTCTGGGAAGGACATGGGGCCAGCGGCAGGCGAGACACCAGCCTGCAGAGGGTGCTCCAGTCTGGAAAGAGCTAATTCCCTGGATGACCAGCAGGAGGCGCCGCGCTGGTGAGTCGTTGCCCCGCCACAGGCAGCCTTTCAAGTATTTGAAGACCACGATCATGTCTCCCTTTAATCTCCTCTTTTCCAAACTAAACACACCCAGTTCCTTCAGCCTTTGCTCATATGGCATGCATTCCATTCCTTTGATCATCTTTGTTGCTTGCCTCTGGATCATCTCCAGTTTCTCTTCATCCTTTCTATACATTGGTGACCAAAATTGGACACAGTACTCCAGCTGAGGCCTAACCAGTGGCGAGTAGAGCAGTAAAATCACCTCCTGTGACTTGCATGCTATGCCTCTGTTCATGCAACCTAAAATTGCATTTGCTTTTTTTTGCAAACAGCATCGCACTGCTGAGGTTGTGATCCTTCTCAGCAGTGCTGCTGCAAGCCAGTTATCTCCCATTTTGTATTTGTGTATTTGGTTTTTCTTCCCTAAGTAGCACCTTACATTTGTCATTGTTGAATTTCATTTTGTTGTCTATAGCCCAGTTCTCCAATTTATTAAGATCCCTCTGAATTTTAGCTCTATCCTCCAAAGTGTTGGCAAACCTCCCTAGCTTTCTGTCACCTGCAAATTTGATCAGTATGCACTCTATTCCTACATCCAAGTCATTAATAATAAATAATAATATACTTATAATATACTTATAATAATAATTAACAACATACTTTTAAGTTGCATCACAATTTTATCTCCTGCCTGTTTATCTGCTCTTGTATTTTATTGTGTCACCTTTCACTCTCTCCACTCCACTGACAGAGGCAGCCTCCACTGCTTGTACACACCTCTCACACCTCTGTGTTTTCCTCCAGGCTCCACTTTCACATGTTCCCTGAATTAATCTGTAAAGACACTAGCCTGTCCCCAACAAACCCCTCCCCAGGATTCACTTCTACCAAGATATCTACAGGAAATTGCCAACTGATTATATCTAGATACAAGGTCAGGAGGGACTGCTGATATCTATCATATTTATTTCTTACAGTTTATTATAAGAATAAAATTTATCTGACTCAAAACCATCTAGCTGTGCACATCTGGCCTATGTAAACATATGCTTTTCTTATTGTTTGCATCATTCTGCTTTACTCCTTCCAACGATTTATTACAGCCATTCACTTGTTGCATCTTTTCTTTATTAGGTGCAGTAAACTCTTAGGGGCAGGAATCATCTTTTCCTTTGTCTGTTACAGTGTTTAGTACAATAGGGCCCCGGTCATCATCTTGGTTTGGGCCTCTAGGCACTACCATAATACATGTAATAAAAATTACCCTGAGGAATTCATGTCAAAAGAAATGATCAACTAGATGGATTTTCTAAAGACCGTATCCTATGGCGTTTAAAAGATTTTTTACCACATAATTTTTGTAACAAAGCATTACAGGAACATGTGTGTGGGTGTGAAAATAATACTGGAAAGATGATTGATGGAATCAAATGGATTCTAACTACTTCTGGAATTACCTAACTACCCTACTAATTTTGGGTAATTAGTCAAGACTAGCTTATCCTCATACATTGTAGTGTAATGTGTATCTGCACTAGTGCCTGAGGCTCACTTATGCTGCAAAATGAAATCTGTGTAACCAGGAAGAACATTTTTCATGCAAAAACTCTGAGCCAGCATGAATCATGTGGCTCAAAAAGGGTTTTTGATCTCCTTAATAAGAATCAAATAAATGCCCCATGATAGCACTCACAGCTTTTTCACAGCTTTTCAGTTAAACTATCCCATAACATATATGTGGAAGAAATAATTTTTCTATCTACCAATCTGGAAAAGATAGAAATAAACAGACTTAAAGGTGTTGTCTGGCAAGAACATACCTTGGAGATTCTACTCTATTTAAAGCAACAGAGAGTCCTGTGGCACCTTTAAGACTGGTGCCACAGGACTCTCTGTTGCTTTTTACAGATCCAGACTAACACGGCTACCCCTCTGATACTCTATTTAATTAAATCAAATCAGTTAATGTTGCAATTTACCCATGATCATACAAACTCTGGCAGAACCAAGAATAAAGCCCAGACGTCTTCACTCCCATGCCCATATTTTTTACCACTTTGGAACATTCTGGCTTACATGTTGACATGTGGGTGAGACTTTACTATGGGCTCACGTCTTCCTTTCTGAGACAATCTAGCAGGTCAAAAGAAATCTAGGCAGATCTACACGTGTACCTGGAAATATTTGTTGTTGTGTCGTCCCCAGTGCACTAAAAAAATCTGTGTTTATGAACCACACATCTTGCCTTAAGGACTCTCTTAAACCAGGATCTCAGAGCCCGTCACAGTCTCACCTAATCAGACCGACAGACAGAAAAGAGATGATGACAAAATGGAACTCTGTGGCACCCTGCACCTGAAAGCCCACAGGGAGCAAATGCCTGCTGAGGAAATTCCTGAAGTCCCAGAGCCGTTTGATCATTAACCTTTTTCAAAAAGGAAAAATTAACAGCCTTGGCAATTAGAGTTCAGTACACAGTGGCAAGAGATTATTTTTCTTAATCAAAGATACACCTGCTCCCTGTTTAAAGGCAGCAACAATACCATCCTGCTGTCTAAAAGGGAAACATTAATAACCCTCATCAATAAACCAAATTTCTCCACTGATCTTCATCAACCAGGTTGGACAAGGGTCTAGTTCATAGTTCTCCCAATGTATCAAGAACATCAGCTAGTAAATCAGAGTGGAATTTAGCAGCATGTCTCGCCTCTTGCTAGAACATTATGATGTTAATCAGGTCAGTCTGGAGCCAGTAGATCTTATTAGAAAATTAGGTTGAAAATTCTTCACAGTGAGAAAATGTCAATTCTGTTACAGTGCCTGTTACATCCTGCCTCCCCATCTGAACATTTCTGCTGGAAGAGTCTTGTCTAATGCTATGGTGAAGAAAAAGTACAACTTTTTTTTGCCTTTTCCACATGAATGTAACCACTTCCCAGGTTGTAATCAATGTAGTTCAGAACAAGCTCTCTGCTAGTGGCACTCTGTTCTTCTCCTTGCTGCTTCAGTCAGATGCAGGTACTCTGTGCTGACCCACCATGGTCACCTGTAAGAACAATGCAGCAGGCAGGGCTGGCTCCAGGCACCAGCGCAGGAAGCAGGTGCTTGGGGCGGCCAACGGAAAGGGGCGGTAGTCCGGGTATTTGGCGGCAATTCAGTGGCAGGTCCCTCAGT